GTTTCTATAATTCTGATCTTGTGGTTCATGAGCTCAATTTAAATAGAATGGTGTTCCACCATGATTGATATTTGTCTCTCAGATGGATTGTGACTTTGAGTTGAGAGTGAAGCTCTTGACACTGAGTCATAATTGCATTGCAACTGTCTGAATCTCATTCAGTTTCTCTGGGAGATCCTTCTGTTCATCCAGCTTGTTGTGCATAGATTTGTCATATTGCCATAGAAAAAGATGTTTGATGAACTTATTCACACTCTGTGTTTCTTCACCCACTTGTTGTAAATGTTGTTGGAATCATTGCAAGCAGTCAAAGTCTGATTCATCATCTCTTTTATGAAGATGAAAAAGGTTTCTCCAGACTAATTGAGTTCAGTTTTCAGAATCATCCAGTTGTAAAAGTAGAAATTGTTTGAGTTCAGTTCAGATGTTCAGAGTAGAGTTCTGAACTGAGTGTGATTTTCAAAGATCTTTCTCATTATAGTCCAACTCTGTGACTGCATACTTCAGAGTTTCATTGTTGTTCAGACCACTAGCATCTTAAATGAATTCTATTTGAGAGGTAAACTGTTGGTAGGCTGCATAGTTCTTGATCTGATAGTTGATCTTATGTTGTGGAGACTTGATAACTGAACTCTTCTTTGGAGAATTTGGATTAGAGATCAGAACATTAAGTGATTCTGTTTGCTCATGCTTTCTATTCAGAGTTTGTAAACTCTGCTGTAGTTCTTGAATTCTTTTCATGAGATGTATTCACTCTCTTAAGTTTTCAAGAGATTCTGTGTTCTCTGAAGATGATTTCTCAGTCTGGGTTATGCTTTCATTCAGATTTATTGTTGCACTTGATGTCTTGACTAACTCTGATACTGAGAAAAGAGTTGAGAATTCAGTTTGGTCTTGATTGTTCTGTCTTGTGGAAATCATTATTGGGCCACCTGCTTATTTAAGTGGCAAACTGTGAGAATTGAATGGTTGCAGATGACATGGCAATGGCTTACAGTCTTTGTAAATGAGGTTAGATTGGGTGAGAAGTGGTTACAAAGAAATCTAAGCATGAGAGAGAGAGATAACTTATATTGCTACAACAGTATCTAGAGTCTCTAGATATGTTGTCACTGATCTTTGTAAAGAAGTGTCTGTGGCAGATTTTGTGTGTTCAGCTTTGCTAGTGAGATCATGTGATCAGTTATGAGATCTACAAACCCCAGATGTCATGAAGCATGATCATCTAAGCATCAAGAAGGTTTTATGAACCTCTTTTAGATGATGGAATGAATGTAAGAAGGCCACAGCACAGAGTCTTACAAGAAGTTATTTAAAAAGAAAAGAAGAAGAGAGAAAATGAGTAATTTATTTAATTTTCTTATAAAAAAAAACTTATAAATTCTTTGATGACTTAAAGAAGACATTTATAAAGTAAGTAATGATATATTATTTTAGTTCTAAAAAGAAAATTAAACTGAAAATACATACATTTAAATTTATTATATGTGAAATTCTTTTTCAGCTACAAAATAATGACATATGAAGATCAGTAAGATTTTATTTAAGAAACATAAACTAAGTATATATATAACTTCTATAACATTTATAGAGTCATGTACATAAATCTTAATTAAATATAAAGTTTAATATATAACTCTTTTGAAATTAGTTTAAATTTTATTCTATAAAAGTTTATTTCAAACTTTATTTTCTAATAGAGTTACAGTAATAACATTACTATTTTAGTATTGCTTATATAAATTATTAATCAAGAAAAGAATAATAAATTGAGACAACAAATTACATTATATAAAATGTCATCATATGTAACATTGTCAATAACATTATAAAATTCAATGCTGCATAGTTTATTTTTAAGATTAATAAACTATTGCACATTATAATTAACTTTAATAAGTTTTATACTCAGTTATATCAACTTTCTATATCTCTACATTATGAATATTCAATTTTATAGAAAGTATCATTTACTGAAATCAGAATTTTATAAATGTCTCATACAATAATTCAGTTTTCTAAAAAGTATAACTACTTTTTATAAAACTATTGTAAGTATTGCACAATATACTGCATCATATTGCATCACACATGATGTAACACTTATAAATCAATATAAATATGTCATAACTTACATAACTTAAACTCTAAGTTCACAGTGTATAAATAAGATCAAAACTTTCACTGTAAAATATAATTAACAGAACAATTCAACAACTTCTTTAAATATTTATTAACTATTTTTTCTATACTATTGTTTTCTGAACTCTATTATCATTGTTCCCATTATACTCATTCATCAAAATCTTATATATAACTATATACTTATATATTTATATATATATATTTATAGCTATCAGTAAGTATATTCTACTAACTAAGCTTTTGTTGTATGAACTTCTACTGCACATTGACTTACTCACATGCTTTATAAGAAGATAGTTTAGTAAACATCATTATGTTCTGAATGAATTTATGAATTGTTGTTCTGATAATAAATGAATCAAAATTTCAGTCTGCAGAATAAAATATGTCAAAGAACTCTGATTCTGATTAAATTAATTTTAAACTATTTAGTGAAAGAACTTTAGAATTTTCTTTTAATATATATAATTAATAAATGTTAAAGACTTAAATTTATATGTGAGAATATAACATTGTCAAATATAATCAAATTTATATACTATATATTGTCTTATATAACATGTGTATAATATGTATAACTTCTATAACATTTACAGAGTCATATACATAAATCTTGATTAAATATAAAGTTTGATCTATAATTCTTTTGAGATTAGTTCAAATCTTATTCTCTAAAAGTTTATTTCAAACTTTATTTTCTAATAGAGTTACAGCAATAAGATTACCACCATAGTATTACTTGTATAAATTATTAATCAAGGAAAGAATAATAAATGAAGATGGCAAATTACATCATAATATCATATTACATCATATAAGATGTCATCATATATGACATCATTAATATCATCATAAAATTCAATGTTACATAGTTTATTTTCAAGATTAATAAACTATTGCACATTATATTTAATATTAATAAGTTTTATAATCAGTTATATCAACTTTCTATAAATCTATATCATAGATATTCTGATTTATAGAAAGTATTAGCCACTGAAACCAGAATTTATAGAATGTCTCATATAATAATTCAGTTTTCTAAAAGTATAAGTTACTGTATAACTACTTTTTACAAACTATTGCAAGTATTGCATAATATACTGCATCATACTGCATCATACATTACATCACACATGATGTAACAGTTATAAATCAAGACAAATATACCATAACTTACATAACTCAAACTCTAAACTCACAGTCTATAAATAAAATCAAAACTCTCACTGAAAAATGTAATTAACAGAACAATTCAACAACTTCTTTAAATATTCATTAACTACTTCTTCTATACTATTGTTTTCTGAACTCTATTATCACCATTCTCACTCTACTCATTCACCAAAATCTTATACATAACTATATACTTATATATTTATATATATTTATATAGTTATTAGTAAATATATTCTACTAACTAAGCTTTTGTTGTATGAGCTTCTACTGCACATTGACTTGCTCACATTATAGTATTGATATTTTATGATTTTTATTAATAAATTCTGCTAGATTTCAGATGCTGAGTGAAATGACTCAAGAGATAGAATTACTTTGACTATAGTTAAGTAGATATTTAACTATTTACAATACTGAAATAGATAGACACTTCATAATAAATCTGATTTCATTTACTGAATTCATTTTTCATTAGCTAGTTGAGCATTAATATATTGAGAAGTTGTGAAGACTGAGATTTTAAATTATTTTGTAAGAATTATTAAAATTTAAACTGTTCTTGAAGTTCTTAATTAAGCAAGACATGCTATCAGTTTATTATCTAATTCATATGATTATGAAAACTCTGTATGCTTTTTGATTGTGTAGTGGAAAATGATGTTTTATTCTCTCTTTTGCTTTATAGATAATCTTGAGATGCTAACTAACTACTTATCTGACTAACTACTTTGAGAAATATGTATAATGAGAAATTATATTAAGTTCATGTCAAAATCTCAGTTGAAAATTTTATGTCTCTGCAGTCAGTCTAAAAAAACTATGTGATGAAAATACTTATTTAAGAATATAATATTAATTATTGAATTTAAATATAAATTTTAATATTTTATATATTACTTAATAAATTATTTAGCTTTTTAGTACAATTATTTTACAACTTATAATAAAACTTTATTATATCAATATTTATTTAATAATTTAAATAGAAGTTCAAAAATAAAGAAAGTAAAAATAAATATAATATTTATAAATAACTTAATAAAAATGCTGTTTAGACAGAAGTTTAAAAAATTATTAAGTAATTAAGTTTTTTAAATTAAAACTTAATAAATAATACTTTATCATCTTTATTACTTATTAAATTAAAAAAATGTATTGAATAACAGTAGATTATTATATAATCTTTTAGAAAGTTTATATTATTAAATGATCTTAAATTTACTAATATTAAAGATATTCAACAATTTGCATTTTGCATTATCTTTGACTATTCAATAATAGATGATTTTATATAGATCTCACTAGTGTTTTGTTCTAGCAATAGATTGTAGATTGTTTGTCTATAAATAACAACATCAAACTCATCAGAATTTGACTGGTCTTGAATATTACAGATCTCCAATCACATGATCTTCATGCACTCTTTGTTTGTTTGTTAACATTGTACAATGTTGTGTTGAGTTACTAACCCATAACATTATGGTAGCCCACAGATCCAGGATTATGGCCTGCCGTTCAACAGAAGGTCTGAGTGTATGAGGCAAGCGCAATTACCAATTGCATTAGTGAGCATCTAGACAAACAAATAGTCAAAAACATCTCCTACAGGTTTGACAATTGACATTGCAATCATGAGCACCACTCCTTGAGATTTTACTGAGACTTAGCAACAGATAATGCCTTCCTTAGGAGACAACCTTGGACCACTACCCTCTGGTCCAGGATATTCAGTCGCTCATCAACGGGTCGAGCTCGATATTGATTTTCGAAATCGCATTCTGAAGGGCAACACTGAAATCACGATTCACCCCCACCGCAAGGACCTAAAATCCATTCACCTAAATTTTCGTCAAGGTGAATTAAAGCGGGTGGCCATCAACGGCAAAACACCAACAGTTCAATACACTGACCCCTATTTATCCATACGACTCTATGGTGTGCATCAACACCACAAGCTTTCCTCAAAGCTTGGATCACTAGCATCGATTCCTCCTGACTCCGAGCTTACAATCGTCATTCCGAAAACTATCAGGATAGAAGAACTCGATCCACTGTCTCTCGAAGCCCAGACTCAATCATCCTTGAGACCAGGAGGTGCCACAGATGAGCCAACAGATGCACCATCCGCCTTCAAGCCGGGAGATGTTGTGTCCCCCCGGTTCACTGCAATTACCATCAATGTCGAGTTCATAATAGACCGCCCTAGAGATGGCATACAATTTGTTGGTGTTGATATTTGTGATCCCCAATACCCTCATGTCTTCACAACTAATTTTGCCACCATTGGCAAGGGATGCTGCTTGTTTCCTTGCGTCCAGACACTATCCTCACGTTGCACATGGGATATCTCCATAACGTGTGCCCGGACTCTAGGTGATGCCCTTAGTCCCCATACTTGGCAATCCCCATCCGAAGCAAGAAACAATAATGCACATACTACCCCAAAACCTGGATTAAAGCTAAACTCAGAAGACCAGTCAATGGAAATGGTTATTGCTTGTTCAGGGGACCTAACTGATGAAATTATTGACGCGAATGACATAGCTAAGAAAACAGCCTCATTCAGTTGTTCCACCCCATTATCTGCGCTGCAAATTGGGTTTGCTGTTGGGCCATTTGAATATATCAATCTTGCACAATTTCGTGAGAGTGATGAAGATGATCAACTCGGCCAGAATGCTGTCCCTATTCATGCATTTTGTCTTCCAGGACGAGCAAATGAAATCAGGAATACTTGCTTTCCCCTTGCAAAAGCAATTGACTTTATCTCTCTAAACTATGGTTCTTATCCCTTTTCAAGTTACAAATTGTGTTTTATTGATAATGCTGCTCAAAACACATATCCTTATGCTGCACTAGCTGTGTGTAGCAACCGTTTGTTGTTTCCGGATGACATCCTAGACCCATTATATGAATCCACCCGCTGCTTAGTCCATGCTTTGGCTTCTCAGTGGGTAGGCATAAATATAATTCCAAAAGAGCCAACCGACAATTGGGTAATTATCGGTGTGGCGTACTACATTACGGATACCTTTATGAGGAAGTTATGCGGAAATAACGAGTTTCGTTATAGACTCAAGTCTGCGTCAGATCAAATATGCGAACTCGACATTGCTCGCCCTTCGATTTGGGCTATAGGTGCCCTTTTAAACATAGATACTTCTGAACTGGAGCTTGTTTCTTTGAAATCACCCTTGGTGCTCTATATTCTTGAAAGACGGCTTTCCAAGGCTAGCGGGAAAGCCACGGTTTCTCGAATACTGTCTCGCATATTCCTTAACGGCCGAATGGGTGATATGCCAAACAATTCGCTGACCACTACTTATTTTCAGAAACTTTGCGAGAGGTTTGGCCATGTTAAACTTGACTCTTTTTTTCAGCAGTGGATATATGGCGCTGGCTGCCCACGCTTTATTGCAACCCAAAGGTTCAACAAAAAGAAACTGGTTGTGGAAATGATGATACGCCAAGTTCAGTCTGAGATGGTTGCGGCTCGTGATCTTGATGAGTCCACTTTTATGCGGGACGTGAAAGAAGAACTCCAGAGTATTTATGCTGGCAATTTACAGCATGTCTTTACAGGCTCGATGACTATTAGGATACATGAAGCGGATGGGACCCCCTATGAACATATAGTTGAGATTAAGGAAGCAGTCACCAAATTTGACATCCCTTATAACACTAAATACAAACGCCTGAAACGCAACAAAAGACAGAAAGAACGGGTCGCCACATTGTCAGGGATCGATCTCAACTCTGAGCTACAGGATGACACTTTGCTCTATTGCCTGGGTGATGTTCTTCAATCCGAAGAGGAAATGCAGAAATGGAGGCTGGTAGATTGGACAAAGGAAGACGAGGATAGGATGGGCCAAGAGTCTTACGAGTGGATTCGTATGGATGCAGATTTTGAATGGATATGCAAGATGTCTCTGACTATGCCGGGCTATATGTACTTATCCCAGCTACAGCAAGATCGTGATGTCGTTGCACAGCTTGAGGTGAATAACTAACAATGGCTAAAACTTGACTCCTTGACTAACTATTTTAGTCAATTCAATACATGGCTGCCCAACGAGAACACCCATTAATATCAACTATATTTGTGCGGACCTTGATGGATAAGAGATATTTTTATGGTATTCGGACCGCTGCCGCGCAGGCATTGGTGAAACACGCAAAAGAAGACGTAGATTGGATAGGCTTGTTTCACCTTGAGAACGCTTTCCAAGAGCTGTTCTGTCTACATAATTCTCCGATGACACGATCAAATGACTTCTCAGATCTCGCCTCTTATGTTTTGCAAATCTCGATACCGCAGGCCATTTCCAATGTGAAAAACAAAGATGGGAAGGCTCCACTGAGAGTCCAAAAATTTCTTTATGAAAAATTAAAATTCAACGATAACTCCAGCAATAAGGTACCAACTGCTCTACCCTGCAGTCTACTTGTTTTACTAACATAATATTATTAGTTCTCAGATTGCCAATATGTCGCTACACTTATGCAGTCTATTGTTAAAGCTTTACTAAGCGAAGGAGAAGTACAGGGTTCCGGTTTGCATATTGGTTTAGACCAAGAAATAGAGCTGCAGGCGGAGAGCCGACTTAGGCTAGAGCTAATTGAAGAGATCAACCGATATAAGCGGATGGATGAATGGGCAAGTTCCTTCCAAAATATATATACGCGAACTGCAATTGATTGTCTACGCCGATTGATGAAAAATGGTGCAATTGATGTCGATTTGACCCAGTTTCTTCCATATACTCGTTTGGGCACTTTTGACATGCTTCGGCTAGACGCTTTTAGGGCATTACTTGAGCTGGGCATTTTCAAGCATCCGGAACTTCTCAGATGGCTACTCTACACGATGTCAACCGATTCTTCAGCCTGGATACGCCAAGAGCTATTCAGAGCGTTCGCAAGGAGTCTAGCCAATGTTGCGTTCGGCAAAGAAAGCGATGAGAATGAAGTATCTTTGACTAGTCACCTTGTGATTGAACAAGAGTCTTCTACAAATGCACGAGAGGCAAAGCTTGCTCGCAAGCAAACTATACCTGGTGCACTCGATGCCTTAAAAAATGAACTTTCAGGCAACGCAGCTTTAAGGGATGCTATATGGTCAGCATGCAATTCTCGTCAAACCAGTCTTAATGAATTGAACGATCTTCTCTGTGTTTGTTCGATTCTGTACGAGCCCATCGATCAAATGATAATTAGACTAAAGTATTCAAAGTATTGGAGAGCTGAGCATCTGGGTAATGTATGTGCCGATGTCGAGCCCAGATTCGTAGTAGAATGAGCTAACTGGGAACGCTATCAGGGCAAGATGCGGTTTTCGAAATCGGGTCAATATCGCACCGACCTTTCAGGCAGATCCAAACATTCTCCTATTCACAATAGCAACCACGGAGTAGACAAAAGAAAGCGAAATGATTCACATTCAACATCGGCAAGCCGAAAAATCACACTTAAAGTGCCCAAGCTCGCACTATTGCCATCTCCTTCCGATCCCGCAACTTCTTTTCAAACAGGGTCAGCAACTAAGCTGAAACTGAGAGTCAAGGTTCCCACCAACTCTAACACGTCTCCAATGTAGCTTTTAAACATTACATTTAATATTATTTTCACGAGGGCAAGCTGCTGATACCATTGAGTTGGTTTATACGGCGTACATTGGGCCATTAAGCAGTATTGACATGAAAATTCATAAGCGACTCCAAGCTACCACCGATATAACAATGCAGGATGAATTTCAGGCGAAAACAGCGCCTATTTATAGGTCGTTGATAATCGATTCTAACCATCAACATAGTCGATCGGTTCCACAAATCTCTATTAGGGGCTGTAGATTCATGCGTTCAAATGATGCCTATCCTACTTTCCGCATTTTTCAACGGTCCGAGATGCGCTCGAGTGCCTAAATTTACATCAGTTACCAAAGGTTTACATAGATAGCTGCGTGAGACAGGCGATATACTTCTAGCATAACAACCGAGTTTCCACGAATCACCTACTCCAATCGTGCATGAGACGATGAAAGTTTCTAAGTCATGGATTTTACTCTTACCACCATACCAAGCCGGCCTTTTTCTCCACCAGCTTTCTCCTCAATTGCTTCATCAAGCACGATATTCATGAACACCTATAACACGGTTAGAATCATAAGAGTAAATTCAAAGCCGAGAGTTGAAGACATCATAGCCACGAAGTACGCCAATAACTTTACGGTTCCCATTGATCTGGACGAACAAACGCTTTTCCATATACTACCAGTAAAAGTATAATTAATCAATGGTTCAAGCGTTGTCCGTTATGCTAATCATACCTTCTTTAGCTCGGGCTGAGCTTGAGGCATATTGAATGACCTTCAAAGAGTTGGTGAGTAAAATAGAAACCTTTCGCAATCGGTGATTTGATGAGCTGGATATTCAGTTTTGCCATGAAGAATTTAGGTAAGTATGGCACGGAGTACGGAGAGGTACTCTCATCATCTCAGACGCGTGCCGTTAAGATTCTTTAGCACGAATTTAGTGTTTTGAGCTAACCCATTTAGGTAATTCAGACAGAACCTGACCAGCACAGTGTCAGAGCTGATTTTCATCATATTTGCAAAAAGTTGAGTATTGTCATATAAATTTAAGAATTGTGAATCAGATTCATGTCATGCATGTTGAATTTGCTATTCTGAGAATTTAATATAATGTTTTTTTATATAGACTTTATTTATAATTATATTTAAATTTATTATAAAGCTTCTGTGAGAATATTTGATTCTCAAATATAATCAAATTTATATACTACATATTGTCTTATATATCATGTGTATAACATGTATAACATCTATAACATTTATGGAGCCATATACATAAGTCTTGATTAAATATAAAGCTTGAACTAAAGTTTGATCTATAACCCTTTTGGGATTAGTTCAAACTTTAATATATAAAAGTTTATTTCAAACTCTATTTTCTAAAAGAGTTACAGCAATAAGATTACTACATAGTATTGCTTAAATAAATTATTAATCAAGAAAAGAATAATAAATTGAGATGGTAAATTACATCATAATATGATATTACATTATATAACATGTCATTATATATGACATCATCAATATCATCACAAAATTCAATATTGCAAAGTTTATTTTCAAGATTAATAAACTATTGCATATTATAATCATCTTTAACAAGATTTATAATGAGTTATACCAACTTTCTATATCTCTACATCATAGATATTCAGATTTATAGAAAGTATCAGTCACTGAAATCAGAATTCATAAAATGTCTCATATAATAATTCAGTTTTCTAAAAAGTATAACTACTTTTTACAAAACTATTGTAAGTATTGCACAATATACTGCATCATACTACATCATACATTGCATCACACATGATGTAACACTTATAAATCAAGATAAATATGCCATAACTTACATAACTTAAACTCTAAGATCACAGTCTATAAATAAGATCAAAATCTCCACTGCAAAATGTAATTAACAGAACATAATTAACAGAACAATTCAACAACTTCTTTAAATATTTATTAACTACTTCTTCTATATTATTGTTTTCTGAACTCTATTATCACTGTTCTCACCCTACTCATTCACCAAAATCTTATATATAACTATATACTTATATATTTATATATATTTATATAGTTATTAGTAAGTATATTCTACTAACTAAGCTTTTGTTGTATGAGCTTCTACTGCACATTGACTTGCTCACAGATTATGAGCCCAGCTTATTAAGCTTATTAATCATAACTTGTCTTGATAAAATTGATTTAGTAAAGCTTAACAGTTCTGAGAATTATATATCTTGATCAATCAGAACTAAATCTACTTTGATCAAAGAAGACTTATATTCTTCTATTGAAAATGAGTCCAATACTCAGAAGATTTAAAAGATCTGACACTTATCAATCTTCTATGTGAAGATGGATCTTTTCTTCATATTAAAGATATGCCCAATGCAAAAAGAGCTTGGGAAAAGTTGCAAGAGTTATATAATTTCAAAGACTTTACTACAGAATTTCTCTTATTAAAAGAGCTATTCAATACTTCTCTAGAGAACTTTGACTCTATGAAAGAATACTTAAACAGAGTTAAGACTTTGATGGATGACTTAAAGAGTAAAGAAATTGTTTTACCAAGTCAAGTTATTATTGCTTGAATTTTGAACCATTTGAATGCAGAATATGAGAATTTCATTGCAAATGTTATTCAAACTTTGAGAAAAGATTCTCATTCTTATACCATTGAGAATTTATTCTCTGATCTCATTGATCAGGCAAGAGGAAAAGAACAAAGCAATATTTTACATATCAATGGAAAAGAAAACAAAAAGAATTCAAAACATTCTTATAAAAAACTTTCAAATGGAAAATACTGTCAGTACTGCAAATTAACAAGTCATATGACTGACAAATGCTTCTTTCTCTTTTCAGATAAAGCTCCAAAGAATTGGAAAGTTTGGAAGAATAAAAAACAACAAAACTCTTTCAAAAAGCAAAACAAAAAGCAGGAAGCTTTATTATTATTATTATTATTCTTCATTATAGTCTTGTGCAGTCTGAGACTATGAAGACTACCTGCAAGCTGTCTTGCAGAATTTAACTAAGTTACAAAAACAATGATCAGAGACATGATCATAGACAAATTAACAAATGAAAAACATACAAAAGTGTCAGGGCAGTGATTTATGTCTTTTCTCCACAGAAATTTGAAAACAAATAATGAGATTGTAAGTGAGATCTTTAAAGATACTCAGTCTGTTTCATTCAGAAGTCATTATTATTATTATTATTATTCATTATAGTCTTGTGCAGTCTGAGTCTATGAAAACTACCTGCAAGCTGTCTTGCAGAATTTAACTAAGTTAAAAAAACAATGATCAGAGACATGATCATAGATAAATTAATAAATGAAAAACATACAAGAGTGTCAGAGCAGTGATTTATGTCTTTTCTTCACAGAAATTTGAAAACAAATAATGAGATTGTAAGTGAGATCTTTAAAGATGCTCAGTCTGTTTCATTTAGAAGTCATTTTCTGATGACTATTTCAGTTTGTTTGAGAAACTTTTTCATCCATTTCAAATTTAATTTAGTGTTAAATAAAAATTCAAGTGACAGTTGTGAAATTTTAAACTCTTTCAAACACTGTTGTCTGTCATTCTTTAGACTTAAACAATTCATGAGCAAATGTTTTGGTGTTTCTTTGCAGTCACAGTGTCTGCAAATTTCCTATCATGATTTGATAGTCTTATTAAGTAAGAACCAAAGTAATCATGACTCAATTTCAACTGAATAATTATTGACCAAATCTGTTTGAGAAATGAAAGTGAAGAAGCTTTTCACTTTGATTTTGAATTAAATTGAGAGTAGTGATTTACATCACTTTCATTTTTAAAGATGTGTTTCAGTCATTCAAGCATTGTCATTTCTTTAATTTATCTCTTGATGTAAGCAAAAGAAATATACTTTTCAGCACAGTTTTGTCTCAATTCAGTTGCTTTCTTTGCAGCAATATCAGCTTCTTCATTATCAAAAATGCTCATGTGAACTGAAACTCAGTGAAGATGACACTTAATGTCTGTAGACTTAAGTTGTTTAGCAATTTTTCTAATTGATTCAATGTAGAACAGTTCAGCTTTCATATTCTGTGCATTGAGTATCTGAATAACAGCTTGACTGCCAGAAAACACTCATAGTTCTGAAAAGATTCTTGAATTTAAAAGAGTTAAAGCATTGAAGAAAGTCTTTTCAATTGCAAAGAGTTCAGCATCAAACACTTTCATATGTTTGCTCAATCTTCAAGAATATCTTTGATTTATTTCTGAAATATAAAGATCTGCATCAGTAGTCAGATTTTCTGACTGTGAACCATCTGAATACATGGTCAAAGAGTCTTTTAAATTGAGAAGAAGTTGTTGATGATTTTTCTTTGTAAGTATCTTCTCTACTGAATCAATTTAAATGTCAATGATTTCATTTAAACTTGAACTTCAAGATTTATTCCATTCTGAATTTACTGTTTCAATCTTCACAGAAGGAATCTGATCTGAGATTATAGAACATAGTTTGAACAAGTGACTTAAATATTTTTTAATTCTTTTTGTTCTTTTTCTCTTTCTTTTTCCAGATGTTTGTTCAACATGATCTAGAGTCCACTCATTCTGATTTCAGTCCAGAAATTTTCTCCAGTTCAACTCAATTTCATTAAATGTGGAGAAAAACTTGAAGAAACTCTTGTTCTGATTGCATGTTTTTCTGACAGTTTCAACAATCTGAAAGCATAGTTTCTACACAGCTTATTGAATCTCACTTTGGGTGGAGGAATAGCAGCTTTAATTTTCATAGCATAGATTAAAGAGATTCTGAAAGCTTCTAAAATCTTTCTTAAAGCTGAATTCTGAAGTCTTTCAAACTTGTGAAGTAGACTCTTTTGACCATTCCACCAAACTGAAACTCCAAAATCAGTAACAGAAGTGATGCAAGCCATGTACAGTTGTCTCATTGCTTGAAAAGTAAGATCTTTTTCTGTATTTAGAAGTCTTATTATCTGATTTAAGATTCTTTCAGCTGATGCAATTTTGATTTCCACATGTCTTTTGAAAGTGAGTTGATTGTCAAACCAGATTCTCAACCATCTGGGCAACTTCAAATCCAAACAAATCTTCATCAATCTATTCACTGACACAAAGTCAAATGCTTCTTTAATGTAAATAAAAAGAGCTGAAGTCATCAATTTCTTAGCTTTGGCAAGTTGAATGTCATGAGTGAGATTTAAAGCAGCATCAATTGCAGAACACTGTTTCTTTTCATCAAACTGATCAAAGTACAAGAGATCAGTAGTAGTTGCCCAGAAACTGAGTCTAGTGGCTATCACTCTTTCCATCACTTTGCCCAAACAATTCAGAAGTGAAATGATTCTGTAAGACTTGGGAATAGAACCATTTCTGTTTGGTTTCTTCAAAATGACTTCAGCAGCTTGTCTTCAGACATCAGAATGATAGTTCTTCTCAAACAGACTCTTATAGAGTTGAAACAATCTATCTTTAAAAACTGAATAGATTTTCTGTAAGATCAGAAAAGAGATTCCATCTGAACCAGATGCACTAACTTTTGAACCACTGAAGACTGATCTTTTAATTTCAATCTCAGTGATTTGCTGCCATTCCCACTTCTCACTCTCATGATATTCAGACCAATTGATTGATGGATATTCAGATGGTTTTCTGAAAAGAGTACTGATGAAAGCATTGCATTTCTCATCAA